TATTTTGTGTGCTCATCATATGATACAGGCATTGACATTTTTATGAATCCGGCAATCAGCTACCACCTACACAAATATATTAGGGCTGGAGAAACATCAGTTTTATTTTCTTATTAATATGTTACCTCTGCAAGCTACTCTTTTCATATTCATCTATTTACTATGATTTTTTCCTAGAAGCGAACTTCAAAGTTTATGCTGTCAGAAGATCAACAATAACTAGTGCTGACAACCAGCGATTGTTAACTAATATAATGCAGCAGCCAACAACAAGATTTTCAAAGACCGTCAAGAAGAAGAAAGTGGCTCTCATGTGTCTAGGAGGGCTAGGAAAAAAGGCAAAAGACTCTGATGTCAGCGGGACAATTAAATTCCAAGATAGTGGAAGAAAAAAGGAAAACCTGTATGATATCGTTTCTCAAGTAACGAAAGCAAAGACGGAAAAAGGAAAAACAGAAAATCATCTAAGTGATGACGAATTTGGACAGGAGGATAGTGACGAGGAATGCATTAAGCAAATGAGACGCGAGTTGGAATGCTTGGAAAATGATGGATTAACACTGGAAGCAAGAGAAGGAAGCCAAGCGCCAGTAGTGGAAGAGAAAAGAAAGCTTCGATCATGGAGGAAAGTGTGCGGCCGGCTCACAAGCAAGGGCTGATAACGAAATCTTGAGTAGAGAAAATATAATTATCTTCTATTTGGCTTAAAAGAGTCTAGAACAAAATTGGAATGCAGTTGTAATTACGTAACAAAGAAATTTAGAGCGTTCATTTTTGCCATGGCAGGAATTATTGTACCACAGATTTGAGTCAAAAAGATAATTCAAATTTAAGTGAATACTTTTTTGTCAATTGATTCATTTATGAAAATATAGCGTTACTTTAGAGCTATCTATTGAAATACCTAATATTGCTTGACAAAGTATCAAACTATCTTTAAATAGACAAAATTGACAATTTGTACAAATATGTTCCAGAAAAAGACGCAGCTGAAGTAACAGAAAATGCCATTTTCAGATATCTAAAGATTGAAGCCAGTACTCAATGCATTTTCTTGGTGCTGGGGGTACTCGAAGAATTTTATTTTCTTTTCAGCACCAGATCTGAAGGTACCTTTTCTAATGACAAACCGTTCATAAGCTTATCACAAAAACTGAGACACGCGGAAACATGATGCTCAGTAACAGTAGATTTTTTTAAAACCAATACTAAGTAAAATTCATAGCAATTGAATTGTGTAGGTTACTAACGATATACGGTGTGTTTATTCACAAAGATGGTAATATAATTATTTTAAATGTATCGATGTCTGCATTTGAAATCAGATATAAAACAGAAATCACTAGAAATAGAAAAAAACTTGAAGCATTTTTGATATTTAAGTGAAAATATCTCTCTTTCTTGCTGCCGAGAATGCCTGCATACAGCTTTGAAGGCGACGCTGCTGTCATTAGACCGTGTTCAAACGGAGAAAGTTCCCGGCATTTTCGCAGCAAACTGGGATCTGGGCAAGTCCTGGTAATAATCATTAATGTTGTATATAGGGATATTTGCCAGGATAACTTTAGAGCCATTCTGAATGAAAAGTCTGAATTGCGAGTGTGCAGAGAATATACATTTCCCTGCCTAGACGGTAAAATATTTCCTTGTGGTATCATATTAGTGGTTATTGGTATCTCGGGTAGTCAGGAAAAGGTTTTCTCGTGTTGACGGTTGTGCTATTTTATGTAGCAAACCGATATAAGGTGGAATTTTCGTTCAGTGGGTTCCCTGCGTCATCGGTAAAATGCCACTGAAATTTTCTCCACATAAACAGGCTCTTAGTTGTTCAATAAATCCATTGTAATTGAAACAAATCTTGGCTGGATTGCCCTTGCAATTAAACAACATTTACCTTTGCTATAAATGAAAATGCAGCCTTTAATTGCCTAGAGACAAAGTAAGGAGAAGGGATGCGTTCCTAGGATTCGTACGCAACTTCCTCCGCAAGTATATAGAAACGATTTGCAATTTTTCCTTTCATAGCGTTCATAGCCGCTTCAGCAGCATTATTATACATTTCAGCTGCTTTATCTGTATCTTTGTCAAGCCCGAAACCACCTTCTTTATACATTTCAGCCATTCGAGCGTAGACCTTATAGGAAGGGTAATCATCAAAATCTTCGTATTGAGTCTCACTTAGCCTCAAACCTTGTTCATAAAAGTAGATCGCATCTGGCCAGGATCGGCTTCTCCTATTAACGGTACACAAGCATGATCAAAGTCAAATATGTACACATAACAGAGACATAAACGAGATACGCTTAATTTCTTCACCATGAAAGACAAAAATACTTTGGTTGTTCCTGAGCATTTCACGGCGCTTTTGCTTCGACCTCTGGATATACCCGCATAGCACATTTCAAGGCTCTAAGTTGCTATTCTCATGATAAGATCAAATGAAGTTATCAGGTAACTCTGTCTGATGATCGCATTAAGAATTCATCTCAGGGTAGCAACAGCCACCTGTCTATTCAAATATAACCGTTACACAAAGAAGTCAGTTTAGACTTATACTGTTCAATTAACTTGTTTAAACTTTACAAAAATGACAACAAATATCACCCTTATCATATTGAAGTAAAGATTTTTAATTTTATGCTCTTATAGTTTCAAAATTTGCAATATTTTCAATAAATTTGTGTTCTACAAAATCTTCGGATATGTGAAACAGATCTTAACTTTTTCTTTGTAGTTGTTTTTTTCTCCCTTGTTATTTTCATTTTTGAGCTATTTTAGTTACTAAGAATCCCGCCATGAACGACACGGTCGTTTATAATCTTTTAATTGATTACCAAAAATAGTTTGAAGCGACGAAGCAATATTCAGAATGAAAATGCCAAAATTCATGCTCATGTTGAAGGTAAAGTTGAAAGTTTTGAACAGAGGCTTGATAACGTGCTGAATACAAGGGAGGTTTGTTGCGAAAAGATAACAAAGAATTGCTGAAAAATATAGAAATTCTAAACTTACTTTTTGCAAAGTCGCTCGCCATTATCTAAGATAGTTGCAGCAATAAGTACCGATTCTCTGTCATTTTCTTTTGCAGCAGAAAGTAGATATTTCATTCCTGTCTCATAGTTCATATCATTTTCCTGGAAGTAATTATAATAGATACTCTCTTAAGAATTCTGATTTTTTTTAATAACATGCAAGCAAAGCTTAGACGAAAGAAAAGTGAAATTTTTTACAGACGTTAGCTAGTTTACAGATATCATTAGCAAAAATGTTGCAGGCGGGCCAGTGAGATAGATTGATGATAATTTCCAAGTATCGCCTGAATGCCACAGAACAAGGCTTCATGAAAATAAAACTTCACGTCGCTATTTATAATATCATTCTAACCACTATTTGCGTCCAATCCCTTCATTGCCTGGTGTAAAATGATATCCAAACATTAATTGGAAACAAATAAGATGAATACCTCCAGCACGTAATCCTCGAGAATCTTGTGGGGCAGCTGTAAATATAATTTGGCAAGCTCTCTTAGTGCCTCGATCAAGCCGCAGGACGCAGCATGCTCCATGTGGAATATTGCGGAGTCAAAATCAGGCTCATTGTCTGTAAATCGACCAATTTCGTTGTAAAACACAAGCTCTAAATGTACCTGAACAAACAAAACATCTCTACGTCACAAAAAAGTTCTTTGAAACTCATAAAATTTCACATTCAGCTTTACTAACAAAGACAAAGTCAAGATATGTCATCTAGATGACGAGATGTCATTTTGAATGAGAAAATGTCTTTTTGGATAGAACTGATACATTTACAGGTTTACAGTAATTTAAGCTAATTCAACATAGCCTTTTCAAATCGCGCATAAAATCGAGCATAGATGCTGCCCTGAAACAAAAAGCATTGATGCTGCCTTAAAAACAAAAAGCATAGATGCTGCCCTGAAACAAAAAGCATAGATGCTGCCCTGAAACAAAAAGCATAGATGCTGCCCTAAAACAAAAAGCATAGATACTGCCCTAAAACAAAAAGCATAGATACTGCCCTAAAACAAAAAGCATAGATGCTGCCCTAAAACAAAAAGCATAGATGCTGCCCTAAAACAAAAAGCATAGATGCTGCCCTAAAACAAAAAGCATAGATACTGCCCTAAAACAAAAAGCATAGATACTGCCCTGAAACAAAAAGCATAGATGCTGCCCTAAAAACAAAAAGCATAAATGCTGCCCTAAAACAAAAATCATAGATGCTGCCCTAAAACAAAAAGCATAGATACTGCCCTAAAACAAAAAGCATAGATGCTGCCCTAAAACAAAAATCATAGATGCTGCCCTAAAACAAAAAGCATAGATGCTGCCCTAAAACAAAAATCATAGATGCTGCCCTAAAACAAAAAGCATAGATGCTGCTCTAAAAACAAAAAGCATAGATGCTGCCCTAAAAACAAAAAGCATAGATGCTGCCCTAAAAACAAAAAGCATATATGCTGCCCTAGAACAAAAATCATAGATGCTGCCCTAAAACAAAAAGCATAGATGCTGCCCTCAAACAAAAAGCATAGATACTGCCCTAAAACAAAAAGCATAGATGCTGCCCTAAAAACAAAAAGCATAGATACTGCCCTAAAACAAAAATCATAGATGCTGCCCTAAAACAAAAAGCATAGATGCTGCCCTAAAACAAAAAGCATAGATGCTGCCCTAAAACAAAAAGCATAGATGCTGCCCTCAAACAAAAAGCATAGATACTGCCCTAAAACAAAAAGCATAGATGCTGCCCTAAAAACAAAAAGCATAGATACTGCCCTCAAACAAAAAGCATAGATACTGCCCTAAAAACAAAAAGCATAGATACTGCCCTAAAACAAAAATCATAGATGCTGCCCTCAAACAAAAAGCATAGATGCTGCCCTCAAACAAAAAGCATAGATACTGCCCTAAAACAAAAAGCATAGATGCTGCCCTAAAAACAAAAAGCATAGAAACTGCCCTAAAACAAAAATCATAGATGCTGCCCTAAAACAAAAAGCATAGATGCTGCCCTAAAACAAAAAGCATAGATGCTGCCCTAAAACAAAAAGCATAGATGCTGCCCTCAAACAAAAAGCATAGATACTGCCCTAAAACAAAAAGCATAGATGCTGCCCTAAA